GGGGGGGGGGGGGGGGGGGGTCAACCGTTCAACCCGAAGTACCACAACCAAGCTGTATCAAAATTATTTAGTTTACAGAAAAATAATACTTTTTTTATCATCCCCTTTTCCTGGATCCGCCCATGACTTTGAGAAAAAACTGCACAGCACAAATACTTAGGCCGAATGGGGAAAATAATTGTTAAGACAATTTCTTTAGCTCTGAATTTGAAATGTAAAAAAAAAATTTAAAAAAATCCAACATTAAAATAATGTGATGGATGTTGATGTTGCTTTCTTCTTCTTCTTCTGTTCCCTTCCACTAGGGAGGCGTCGCGGTGAGGCACAGTTGGCGAAATCACGCAAGGCCACTTTGAGTGATGAAGGTTGTGTGGGGGAACGGAAATCGAGGACGCCTACCAAAGTCCCAGGCTCAAAAGTGGTGGAGGGGCATGATAAATTCAAAATGCCCAGATGTATTTTGGTGCTAATAACTGAATTTAGTTTTAACATAGCTCTACACGTAACCGGAAAACAACAGCAAAAACGCTAGTGGAAATTCTGTGTCCTTTTTTTTTTTTTGAGTTGTATTTATAATATAGGCCTAAATCATTTCATTTTAGTAGATACTAGAAAGTAATATTGTTGTTATAATCTGTAATCAGGATTAATAATATTTGAATCTAATTTAAACAAAGGGACAAAAGTCAAAACAAATGGAGGCTTGGTACACAGAAATGGCGCATACCGTCACAAAAAAGTGTTGTATATATATTTCAAATGTGCGTTTATGCCAATATTAAAAATAATCGCTTGCGGCCCGCGGGTTGTCAACCCTGGTCTATGTAGTAAAAACCGTTGATATTTCCATTGCGATAACACCTGACCATATACAACTTTTTTTTCCATTTACCCCCACCCCAACGCATTTTAAAAATATGTCCTTGATTGAAATCACCCACACTCGTATTATTATTCGTACTTTTAAGAATAGGAAAGAAGTCAAGTCCCCATTCCCTCATCAATATCTTTCTTCTAAGTTTAAAGTTTATGAAATTATCGCTGAAAAAAAAAATGATTACAAGTTTTATTGTCATGATATTGGAAGTTGGTGAAACGTAATTCTAGGTCTTTTTTTTTTTCAACGCTAAGTTGATAACGGGTACTTAAAATATAAAATCTTAAACTTATTGACTTTAATGTAGATCTAGTTTAAAAAAAAAATCAGTTTATATGGACGAAGCCGAATTGTTCATTTCAACTCACCGATTGCAATTGCACAATACAGTCTAGTGACCCACTCGTATTAATTATGAGTATGAGGCACTCAGTCTAAGTGGTATAAGTGGTCACAGAGTATATTATTATAAATTACCAATTACTTATTACCAAGATTGGTGATGCTATTAAATTACCATCATAGTATAAATAAGCGAAGCCTGGACTCAGCTTTCAAAATTCAACAGTCAACAAAGTCAAAGTCATGCAGTAACTCCAAGTAAGCTGCAATGTGTTTTCTTTTCGCCGTGACCGCTATCTTTCACTCACTGTTTCTCGCTAAAACACGTAAAATCAAAATCCACTAGTATTATTTCAAACTCTATACTTCGAACCTAGCACAAATGTACTTGAATGAAATTCTAGAATTAGAAATTATCTCCTTGTCCACAAAAGTAGTAACTGATTTGTAATTTTTGGCACCAAAGGCTTCTTCCTACTTTTTAAAAAGTGCTAGTCATGTTAAAAATTCTAAAGAAATAAAAAACAAAAAACAAAAACAAAACAACCTTAAAATTTAATGGAATAAAATCACGAAGCGAAGTTTGTAAAATAAGTAATATAAGTATTAAAAACAATGAACTAACATGCCATTTTATATGCTTAATTAAAATAAAAAGACATATTTTAGTAACCTTCGTGGATGAAAATGAAACTCAGAAGAAAAATATATATAAAGTTTAAACAAATGAAATATAAACGGACATATGATATAAATCTTCACATTTATACGGAAAAGAAATATTTTAGTTTCACATTTCAAAAATAAATTTTCAAAGTTAATTTTTAAAAAAATTCGTACTCATATGATATTTAATGTTTGTGAATGACTCCATTACAGTGGTTCTCAACCTTCCTAATGCCGCGGCCCTTTTATACAGTTCATCATTTTGTGGCGACCCGCACCCCCGAAAATTATTTTCGTTAATACTTCAAAACGGTAGAGTATATGCGTTTTCCGGTGGTCTTAGGTGACCCACATGAAATGGTCGTTAGGCCCCCAAAAGGGGTCGCGACTCACAGGCTGAGAACTGAGAACCACTACTCTATTTATTCAATGTTATTGGACCACAAGGTCTGAAAAAAAAAGTTATTTCACTGTATCGCATTCTCATCAGTTTTGCATTTCAGCTTATTATGATATTTGAAGTTTCCATATTAAAATAAGAAGCAACCACTAAAATTGAGATATTCCGCGTTGTTTCGATTAAAAAAAAATGCGTGTACTATGTACTATTATTTACGGCCACCTTAAAATTTTTTATGGAGATTTACGGACGTTTAATGCCAGATTCTTACGGCATGTCGGAAAATCTAGGGACGGTTGGCAACCCCTAATTTAATACAGCAGTCCACAATTAATCCTTCGTCACCCCGAAGATGGCACTTGGAAGAAATTATATACAATATATCTATTTATGACTGTCTTACAATTAACTATTTTTTAATTTTTGACATGCATTTATTGAGACATTCTATACTAGAAACATTATGAGAGCTACAATAAAATAATGTTAAAAATGGGTTCACTAAAAAGCATATTCAAAATTTATTGTATAATTTCGATGATAATTTTAAACAATTTTTTAAAAATTATTATAAAACTGACTAATTTTTAAATATTGATGTACATTGATTAAAATAATACAACATTTACAAGTGAGGTATCAATAATGTCAATAAAGTATTACATTATATGTACGGTTATTGAATGAACATCACATCAATTTATCGATGCTTTACAATTGATCAAACTGGTTATATGCCAACATTTTCATTTCTATTAAAAAATTGTCAACTGGAGAAAAATTTGATAGTTGAGTTAAATTATATTCGCAAAACTAGCCTCGTATTTTTTATATTTAAATAAACGTATGCACATACTAAATTTATATACTGAATTTAACTATGAAAGAGTTGATTTTATAATTGCTTAGTTGTTATGGTCATTAATGTCTGAAAAACTATGTTAAAGTTACTTGGGATGTTTTACACTTGCCTCTAGTTCAGCGGTTCTCAACATGTGGATCGCGACCCCTTGGTTTGGGGGGTGGGGTGTCAAACAAACCTTCCACATGGGTCGCCTAAGACCATGGGAAAACACATATTTATGAAGTAGCTACGAAAATAATTTTATGGTTGGTGGTCACCATTACTTGGGATGTTTTACACTTGCCTCTAGTTCAGCGGTTCTCAACATGTGGATCGCGACCCCTTGGTTTGGGGGGGGGGGGTGTCAAACAAACCTTCCACATGGGTCGCCTAAGACCATGGGAAAACACATATTTATGAAGTAGCTACGAAAATAATTTTATGGTTGGTGGTCACCACAACATGAGTATATTTAAGGATCGCGGCATTAGGAAGGTTGAGAACCATTGCTCTAGTTGTTTAATAGATACCTAGATAATAATGTTTTTGTTAACTAGCGAATAATGAGGTGTGATAGCCTGTAGATAAAAAACAACAACTTAAAACTTTATATTATGAGTTTTTCAGTCTTTCGCAAACAAGTCGCAAACATTCTAGTTTTAAATCTGTATTTGAAAGCTAATGTTTCTAGTAAATCTTAACAAGGGGCTGCTTTTAATGAAAAACAATTAAAAATGTGAATATATGTATCCATATACGTATATGTTTTATAAGGTTCATTTATGAAGAACATCACTACTTAGTATGAACGTAGTTTGGTACATACTTGCCTGGTATAATAAGTTACTCGAGGCTCAGGCTCCCTGTTTTTCAAGGGGAAATGAAGGAAAATTACCGATAGCTGCGCCAAATGAGATTCTTTTTAAAAAAAAATTAGTTCAGGGGCGTTAAAAAAAATTGCGTTTGCGAGCTTTGGGGGGTGGGGGGCGGACTAATTTTGATTCTTATAAAGTGCGTTACTCGAATGTATGTTTTGTCAAATTTTCAGCCCCATCCCCCCTTGATCTATATTACATTTTATGAAGGATATATACGGAAAATTTTGTTGTTGGGGGTTGATCAATTTAATGCTAGTTGGGAGTAAGTAATGGGGAAAATGTAAGCTTGTTAATAACATTTGTCTTTTGTTTGTATTTCTCCCATTTTTTTAAATTTAAAGAAAAAATCATTTCGATCAAATCTAAGTTCGAATTAATTTCCGTTCTAGCAAACTTCCGTCGAAAATTTTTGCTTGAATCAAAGTTCTCGCGCAGAAATTTACGCTGACCGAAAATATGTCTTCTGAAAATTTGAGGCAGGTTAGGGTTGGGGTTGGGGTTGGGGTTGCACATTTTTGGGACAACCCCCACAGGCGTCATTTAGGCTGGGTTTGTTACCGGTGCATAGAGCTAATGAATTATCACTGGTGCGCTCACAGCCAATTAGAAATAAGCGAATTTAATGAATTAAATATAACGAAATAACGTCTGTTTATAGCCCATTAATCTGGAAACTCTCCTGGAGACAGCAGGTCAAAAAAACAAAAAACAAACCCTCCTACTTCTGGTCCAAGCAAAAAATTCTGAGTTGTCTGCAAAAACATCCTCAGTATGTTCTATCTCATTGCGATAGGGGAAATATACATAAAGCCTATACCAGGGAAACCAACCCAAATATCTCCACGGGCCATTTTGATCGCGAGTCAGCACTTTGCGGGCCGCATGTCAGTAACCCTAAAAAAACCAAAAGAAACACCGAAAAGAAACAATGTACATAGATTTGATTTATTCTTAATACACGCATAATATAAAATGTATACGTAAACATTGGATTCCGCTATACGCTGAAACATGATTCTCACGAACAATGGTGCCCGTGCTCATCAGTGATCACCATCATTCCGGGCCGTGGACAGCACACTGTATCAGTTGTCTCATCGCAAGCCCTTACTTCAAACATGTTATGGGTCTTACAGTCCGTACATTTGTAACAATCGCCCTCCTTGATCGGCCCGACTGAGTTTTCAACCCGGAAGTGACCTCTGATGCAGCCAATGACCGTGTCGTGCGTTGTGGTACAGTTTTGTAGCACAATCTCGTGTTCATACTTCACCGCCTGGGTACACGGTGTGCAGAACTGTGACTTGTGGTTGTCAAATGGAATGTACGCTCCATCTGGACACCGTTGACAATATGGCCCGTTGCTTGCATCTGGAATTAGATACTGACCCTTCTGACACACAAAATCTTTTTGCGTTGGAGATGCAGTGCAAAATTTCACTGTAATGATGAATGCTAACAGATACACTGTTCTCATATCCATGACCTCTAACCCTGACGAGGAAACGAAACAATAATAATGTTAAAGCAAATTAAAAATTTAGATTAAGAATGCCGACACAAATTTAATGCTACATTTACATACGTTGATCAACTTTTATTGATGCAAATAAATTAAAATTAGTTTTTGTAGCATTGCATATTGTTGTCAGGCTTGGAAGTCTTTGAGTCTTTCATTGTTCCTTAAAATTGATATGAATCAAGGTGTCTGGTGAATCATTATGTTGCCAGGAAAGCTGTTATGTTCTTGAGAGTACGATGACCTCTTGAGCACCTTCTGGCCCTTTGTTCGAACGGAGCTCTCAGCTCTTTTCCAAGATGGTGGACGATCCTAATGTCTGTAGCTGACTTGTCTTCGGTTGCGTTATGATTTTTTGCCATTTCATGTATTTCCAATATGGTGGATCCTTTGTTTCTATTCTGCCAGATTTGAATATGTGTATCTTTATGCCTACAATGTCCGAAAAATCCATTTAACTGCTGTTACTCGCGATAAAAACACAAGATTATCAATCAATGACGGATTAATCCCATTGACCAATCTTTGATTCTAAAGACCCCCCAACCCTTTTCCAAAATTTTTTAATCTATTACAAAAGGTAAAAAAATAAGCACATATGCAATTGAATCGCCTGCGTTTCGCGTCTTTGTTACAAGAATAAAACCCATAATCTATTACGGGAGTAAATGACACCTAATTTTAAATAAGGAAACACTCCAATATGATACTTTTCATTAAGTTCATTAACGGGTTCGATAGAACACTACCTAGGACAGCTAAATAGTAGTTAGATCATAAACGTTACAATTTAAAAGAATTGAAAAAAAAAAGTATTTTCAAAGGCAATCGTACATTAAAAGTACTTGAGTTAGAATTGGGAAATAACTTTGATCTCCTTCTGACACCAATAAGATCATTCACATTTAATGCAGTAGAACATAGATGTAAAACATCTTATATTAAATACTCTTTATTCGTGATTTTATTGTAGGAATCAACAGATATGGGATCTCAACAGATATTGATTTTAGAAAATAATATGTTTAAAAATAATATAGGATGACGGCAGGCACGAATATGTTGAAATTACTTGTTGACCAAACACAATACAGGAGAATCTAAGACAAGGAGCGAAGGACTGCTACCTTTAGTGCTAGTAGTAAGTAGCCATTGCTTCTTTGAAAACAATATTTCACTTTAACCGAAAGTCATACTTATCTTTAAACCCCACCAAACAGATCTCATTAGTTACCTTTAAGCGTAGCTTACCTTCGACAGCCTTATATAATGCCGTAAACTTACCCAAATGTTATGTCCTTGATGTAAGTGCTGTAAACGTCTAGCCTGGTTCATATGCAGGTAAATGACTGGGTTGACTGTCGCGTCATGGAGCTTACAATATCTACACCGATAACAAGACTACCACTGCTTGGTCACAGGCTTTGCCTCAGTACACCCACTCAATGGACCTATCGATATATGCCTTACAGTTTCGGGAAATGAAATTGTAAGAAATATTTTCAGCAAAGACTTGGCCTAGTTTAAACAATTGTATGCCCGCTTTTAAAGTGTTGATTTAAAAGAAAACAACCCTGATCAAAAATTATTTCAGATGCTTCTCTTCAGGCAACTATGTCAGATTTATTTATACGTACCGTAGGTCAGTCGCATTTTAATGTGGCTTTACTTTCTTGACGATAACAACGAGAGAAACTTAAATGTATCAGTTGAAGACGCAAATGGTGCATTTGGAAATCACGTCACGTGATTATGATTTAATCTATTTACGGCGCTTTCTTTTTCGGTAAAATCCGTTATCTCTTGGAGCCAGCTATTAGTTTACGTATGTAGACATGTATATATATTTCTAAAAATCGTACACATCTCTCTCTCTCTCTCTCTCTCTCTCTCTGTCTCTCTCTCTCTCTCTCTCTATATATATATATATATATATATATATATATATATATATATATATATATATATATATATATATATATCTTATATATCTCTATATATATATATTTATACTCTTTATTTATATCATGTTCGATATAAAGAATAAAAAAAATAAATAAAAATGTGGGGAAAATGTGAGATAAAAAATATAATTCTCACAGAGAGATATATTTTTATATATATATATATATATATATATATATATAAATCACACACATCTCTCTCTCTCTCTCTCTCTCTCTCTCTCTCTCTCTCTCTCTCTCTCTCTATATATATATATATATATATATATATATATATATATATATATATATATATATATATATATATAAATCTTACATATCTCTATATTTATATATTCATACTCTTGATTTATATCATGTCCGATTTAAAGATTACGAAAAATGAATGAAAATGTGGGGAAAATGTGGGATCCAAAATATAACCTGAGTACAATGTTGATGCTGTCAATAAAAATTTCTTGTACAATTATCAAAAGTAGTTGTAATTCCCCCACCCCACCAAAAAATAAAATAAAATAAAATAAATCAATAAATCATGTTATAGACTTGCTTACTTTAAGCTTCTTGTGGTCAAGGCACTGGCATGTGAAGGGTTTGGATGAAAACCTTTTTTTCTATATATTGGGTAGGGGGTTGTGGGGTGGGAGGAGGGGTGGCACTTTCAACCAGCTGAATATTTTTTCCGTGGATGTGGGGGTGGGGGCGGCACAAATCTCGCCCTGCTTTGGGTGGAACTAGCCCCAACGACGCCATTGGGTCAAGATATAAAAAAAAAAAAACTGGGAGGATCCAGCATTATCTCAGCTGTTGTCCAGCTTGATAGAGTATAAAAACACACAATTCTCCAGCTCCTCCATTATAACGGTGATAAATGAAATGATGGAAGCACCAACAGCATTTCTGCTAGGCCCGTAAGTCGAGACGCACTGCTTTCATTTTTGTAAACAAATTCGCGAAACTGACGACGATTAAGGTCATTGGAGCCAAAAACGTTTACATTTACAGCTGTAACAGTGACCTTCAAGCGTAACAAAGTCACTTATTATGAACCGTCATTTTCTTCCATTCCATTTACCCTTAGTCAGTCCATAAAAAACGTATTTATTTAAATGATATTAATAAAAAGTAGCGTTAATAAAAAATTGCAACTCATACACACGATTACATAAGACTTTATACACAAGCTAAACATATATTGTTAATTGTTCCAGTGACTTCTTCTGGGGCAGTTTTTTTTTTTCTTGGAATGTCTTTCCTTTGACTGTTCTTCCTACAATCATTGGAATAGTCAAAATTTTGAACAGCTTTGTAGAGATGATCCTCGACCTCATAGATAGGCTGACCCCCATCTTTTGTTATCAACTTCAAGTTTGTTTACAGGCGCTAAAAACTTCGGTGACCTCACAATTATTATTGACCCCATGGCCTGGCTGAAAACAACGCTGTGGGCCGAATACGGCCTCGGTTTTCCGACCCCTGATGTAATGACTAACATGAAATTTTTCGTTGAAATTAACAAGTGAGGAAATTGTAGACAAGATTACAGATGAGCACAAAACTAATACATATTTACGGAAATTCCAAGCTGAAGTAGTAAGCAGCTGCTCCTGTCAGGTTTGACTTTCCCAGTTTACGTTAAAATTTTTTGGAAATTACAAAAAATACAACAAGATTGGCAAAAATAACTAAAATGCTCAATGCATGTTTGTTGTAAATAATTTTTATTAAAAAAATATATACAAGTATGCCAAGGATGAGACAAGCTTTAAATTGGCAAGGGCTCACAAATTCTATTTTTAGATTCCACCTATTGCTGTGTCATGAAATATTACTTTTAAGAACGGAAAAATCCGATTTACCAACACTTCTTGGATGTACTTAAAACCCTGTGTTGACATTTCACCCAATATATTATGGGAGAGACCAGCAAGCACATAGGGTCATACGTTAGATACTCAATCTTAACCCAGTTCTGATTGTTGCTGTTTTATTGGTAAGTGTGTCAATATATAATGTTATTTATTATGCCATATTTTATTTCTTTCATGCAGTTTTTTTTATAATTGTCACCAATTGTTAATGTTATGACAGTGCGGTCTCTGCTTGATGAGTAATGGTTACCTGATGCAACAAATACTCTCCAAAGGTTTTTAACTGTATGGCCTCATGTGAATTTCTAGGACAACGCAGCTCATTTCTGGTCTTCATGCTGCGTTGATGATGACCGTAGGCTTTAAGGGGTGGTCCTTGCATTTGCCCACCATTCACTCACGAAAACAACACAACATTGGCCTACTTAATACACATTAATATAGTAAATATTGTATTATGACATGAATGGACCAATAATAACTTCCCCACCGAAAATAAGTGCCATTCCTAAGCCACTGGGACTCATGAGATCTCGGTTCTTAAATTAACTTTTAAATTGTCGTGTATAGCGAGATATGAGCAATGGTCCCTTTAAGCTGAGCAGCAGTTTTGAGGATCCGCGCAGCAAATTTCTATGTAAGTGTGTGTTTGTGTTTGGGGGCTGTAAAATTTTGCACACAAAAAAAAAAATAAAAAAATGATGCTTTAAAACTTTGCACACAGCTGTGTGATTTTACACACGAACCAGCAAACCTTAGAGGGAACATTTGAGATGAGAGTTCATTTTTCCAAAGAAGTTGAACATGAACTAGACCGCTGCATGTTATTCTCCCCGCCATTGAAGCACAACGTCATCTACACGCCATAACATTCACAGACACGCTACGTTGCCCCAAATCGTTTTAGCCCCACGCAAAGGAGGTCGTCGGCCGTACATAACAGGAATCGATAGAGTTAAAGCTTACTGGGTGTACTAATGAAGCGATAGCAGGGCCAAAAAAGGGACATAATTTTGTACTTGTCTAAGAAAATAGATACGTTTAAGAAAAAGTCAAGTCAAGGAAATCGATTCTGTAATATGGGTCAATAGTTGATTGGAAGATTGGACATAGACCCGCTGGAGGCAGACCGCTGGACACAGACCACGCGACGCAGACCGCAGGACGCAGACCGCAGGACGCAGACCGCCGGACGCAGACCGCAGGACGCAGAGCGCTGGACGCAGACAGCTGGACGCAGATCGTGAATCGTTCACCAGTTTAACATTTTTATAATCATGACTTTAGGATTCGGCTTATTTTTAGGGGATTTGTGGGGGGGGGGGGAGGGGGGATAGAATATAGGTGGTGAGTTCACAACACAACCAGGAGAAAGAAAACAAAAAATTAAACAAAACAAAGGAACTGTCCCTCCATGAGTGGCTAAAAGGTCGTTCGCAAATAACGACACGCAAAAAATAAACTCATTAGACATCTCTTCCCCCCTTGTCACAAAGTGTCACAAA